TTAAACTTACCTGCATCCACCCCGAGTTCACGCTTCGGGTATTTCTTGGAATTTGGAATAAAGACAGCATATAAATTTAACATTTTAAATAATGCATTTTTATTCAATATCTCCTAACGACTCGTAGTTGCATCTTTCTGTGATGCAATTTGCGATGAGAATTTTCATATACACTGATCTATTTTGGGTATATTTTTAAATCAGGAAGTAACAATGTCAACTCTAAGTCGAAACATGGTTTTTTTCATAAAATTGAAAGTTTGCATTAATTTTTTCCATCTATAAGTAAAATGATAGCGTTCCTAAAACGGAAATAAACAACAAATATTCTCAGATCCAGACAAGGTAAGTTCTAAAGTGTATGTTCAAGAATGTCAAGGGAAAGTATTGACAAAATGCCAATCCCAGAAATCAAGCATCAGTAAGACGTGGTTTATGTTAACAGGTCACCATTACCTTGACACAATGCTTGTGACACAATGCCTCGCCGTGTATGTCGGTGTGTGCTTGCGTGCATTTCACTGTCAATGGGAATATTTACTTAGAAACACAATCATGGCGTTCAGTCCTCTCTCCAGAGTTGAAATTCATGATCATTTCACTCTTTTCACTGCATTGTATTCTCATGTGCCTTTTGCCCTTTTTTCCTTCGACCAGTGCCAGAATAGTACGTGCGTGTGTGTTTTTAATCAACGTCAAAAGAATTAATGGAAATGTCAGGCACCATGGGACATTCAGGGCCGTCCCGTCATGCACTAGATCAACACTTCCGGATAAAAGCTGACAAAAGCACATGTGCAAATCCACAAAAAGTGGGACCTGCTTTTGTCAATACCGAGTGCACCATATGTTTTCATAAGCACCATTTCCTCGTTCATGGCTCCTTCCACTATTTCAGTGTTATTCTACTGATGTGATTTCAATCAAGGATAGTTTTTCAAAAAGGAATATATCGTGTTTAATTTATAAAATGGGCTGTGGTGTCAGTCGGGATAGCTTGTATGAAAATGGTTTGCTAAACGGTTCAGAGCATATAGTCTCCTATGATGACATAACCTCTCCCCCCCTCTCTCTCTCTCTCTCTCTCTCTCTCTCTCTCTCTCTCTCAGTCATAACGGTCATACCTTCTGTCATCTATTTGTCATCCCTGTCATGCGATACGTCTTGAAGGTGTTTACCCCATTAGATCCATTCTCAATAAGTCAGTCTATTGCATGGGCGTTATATGTAGTATCTTGCACGTTACGCTTTGCTGTTTCTTGAAATAACGTTCAAATTCGGCACATGCTCTCAGTTCGGTTTATCAGGGTTTTATTGTTGGAACGAACACTGTTGTAATTTCCTGCCCCATCTCAAATGACAGTGAAATATCTTAACCGTTAAATTATGGCAGTACTGTGCCGTATTATCACCAGTTTTGACACAGTGTACAGACAAGGTGATACCTCTACCATCCCTGTGGCACTGGGTTGTCTAGACATGCATGAATTACTCATGCACGTTATCCCCTTACAAGACATCTGTTTAATATCACAAAGCACCATTAACTACAAGTTCCGACATATATATGAGTATATCTGCCTGTTTGCATATTGGAAAAAATAACTTGAAATTATCTTCCACTACAACCACAAATCTCCTTTGGGCATTTGTCACTAAACATGATCTTAAATATAGTAAATTACGTAATAGTTCCTGATACAGATATATTTCTACCTTGATATTTTCAGGACAGCAGTTGTCCGACCAGGGCTGATGGATGGGTTGTATTGTCATGTTGCTTGTCCGCCACTACCCCGCTTCCTGATCGATGGGGCTTGTGTTACTAAACACGGGGACTATAGATGCCGTTACATTACTATCTTACGAGGTTCAGGACAGTTTGTCCGAAATAAAGGCATATGTCATCTGAAGTTTACAAAGAAAACCCTGTGAATACTGGACGTCCTCGTTGATGATATCTATGTAAACCTGGATATGTGGACATTCCTTAAGGCGCCAACAATGCTCAGATTTGCAAAGAGTAAGGCAATTCGGCCAAGACGTTTAACTTTAATTAGAGGTTTATCGATGATCTGATATCGTTCAATAACCACAAAATAGCAGTTATACTTCCACTGATTTACCCACCTGAACTTTAAATATAAGAGACAGATAAAACCATATTAGTTTCATATACAGATCTATGGATAGAGATTCAGATTGACAAAAGGACTCTCCACAAGGCGGCATGACAAGATTGGTAACTTGAACTCTCTAAACATCAACTGTCCTTTTATGTCGATCATTACTGCAGAAGTTCCAGCCTTTGGTGCTTACATTTCAAAATGGTGGAGTAACAGTCAAGCATGCTCCTTCTGCGAAGATTTTGAAGAACGCCAAGCGAATCTTGTTCAAAAGTTCCTTGATCGTGGTTAGAGTAATTAAGACTTCAATAAAGTTTTGTGGTAGATATTTGGACATTCCAAATTTCACAGACAAAAAGGGTATTTCCCATTTTCATTTAGACAATGATATATTGCTTACTTGTGTTTTTCGGGTGAACAATTGACTTGCCACTGCATGTGTTTGTTACGGGCCCCACCGTTGCGGCAGGATAGGCTCACCTAGTCGCGAACACCTGTTATCATTACTACTGTATTGTAATTAACACCTTATAGTCGGAAACGTGCAATCACTTATGCTTTTAGTAGACTTTACATTAGAATATGTAAAGGGTTTTGTCTTTTTTATCTAATTGATAAACACGTAAACATGCCTGGAAACCTCCTGCATCGAAGATTTCCTACAAGTAAAGTAAATACAGTGCTTTGCAGTGCATAGTGGTTTATACTACTTCACAATACCTTAATTAGTCTTCGTGGTCTACTGTCCGTCATTCAACAGACGTGGCTGCTGATGTTTGTATTGTGTGACATTAAACCAGTGCTATTTGCCGCATCTCCCTACTGACAAGGTGTGGTTTTAACGATTCCTGCCTCGGGCGACATACTAGACTGTTAGTATTTATAGATTTATTACGGGTACATGAACACGTGTACCTACCCGAGTAAACAGGAAGGGGATGTAGGTTACTATGGATTTCATCAACTTGTGTCATCTCTAATGAATCCCCATCGACAGGTGATGTGGGGAAAGATGCGAATGAGTGAATAAGTTAGTGAACGATATAGGTGAGTATTGTGATGTTTATACTGGGAGAGAATATCAATATCTAACTGAGTTCTAACATCAGTTATTCATATGATTCATTAAATCTCTTTGATGTGGCACTAGAAGATATCACATTATGACGCAGATTTAAAAAAACCCGCACTGCATGCTGGAACACACACTGCATGCTAGAACACTGTATGTCATTCCACATCGTTTAGGACAGGCTACACGTTATAACAGAAATCATGTCATAACACAATACGTGTAATACCGCCGGATGCATGTTATAACATACACTACGATATAACACAGAATACATGTTATAAAACGTTACACATTTAAATACAACATTCCTATTCCATACTGAAATATTCTGATATAATTAACTCAATGTTCAGCTGATTTATATCACACATGTTAGTCATGATGCTAATTCACTCTCATCCCTGCGATGTAGCACTACAGAGTGACGGCATACACCGACATTCGATACATAGTCTTCCAGGTGGAACCATTTATTTTCTTGAGGAACCATAACAATGGAGACCAACCCTTGTAAACATCAACACAGATTCAGCAGCTGGAGCTACACAAACAGGCCTCCCCTCCCTGGTGGGCAGTGAAAGATGACGAGGGACACCGCAATCAATCACCAACAGAACCATTTAGACAATTCCAATATCGAAATTAACTGAAAATGATTTGCTACACTTAGCAAAAATGTTTACAGTCAGGCTGAAAAACATAGTCATGCACAAGTCCTGCATCAATTTTCATCCATCATCACCCACGTCCACGAACACCTACCTTCCAACCGAGACATTACAGTACAGATATCAACACAACCAGACTACCGTTCGTGATGGAACACGACGTGGGTATATCCGTAGCACTCACATCTCAATATACATTAAACAAAGGAACTATACACAGGTGAACATGAACCTGTCCGGCAATCAGAACAGTGAAATCCCTCTTATTTATCCCTCGCTATTCCGGAAACCTCGTTTATCGCGAAGGTCTACGCATTTGCATGTACCTCATACAATGGGGTAATATTTTAAACAAGGGGATTATATTTTTTATTTCGCGCTCATTCGCTAATCCGCAAATTTGTGAACATAGATAATTATATAATTCCTTTGGGATGGTATTGTTCGGAGACAGGGTTCACTGTAAATGTTACACGTTAATCTGTTCCTATATTGGTCATTGAGACAGGTGGATTAAGTGATCAGATCTAGAATACCACTAATGAGTATACAGACTATCGGAATGAGAGTGGGCATTGTTCATCTTGACACCCAGACACCCAGATCCGACTTGAACCAGGGTTGATATACTCAGATAAACCCATTAAACAGCATTAATCGCCAGTCCAATGGTGAACACCTTCCGTTGAAGAGAACAGTGACGAACTGCCACAATTTCATTCTGGATGCAACCCACTGTTTCTGTGTTAACATTGTTCATGCAATATCCGGGCCGATCATGTACAAAATCGGGCCCTTACTCGGGATTTCTTTAGGGAATATACTTCCAATACTACCGTGATGAAATGCATTTCGCTACACCGTGGCAAACGGGCAATGAAGGAGTTCTATTGCAGCCCGATCTAAATTGATTAAATCAGCTGATCATTTCTGGCTATTTGTTGGTGCCGATGAACGAACGTCTACAACTCTCACAGTTAACTAGTTTGCTTTTTGAAACAGATCGAGAATCACGAACTGTTATCCTAGATTACGGTACCAACGCCGTTCACTGGAGACCTGTATATAAACACTTAAAGGCAGTATCCATCTCATGTCAATTTCTAGTGTCAAGATGTCTATATCACTCACCTCTCACAGTCAACAGTAGTCCAACAGCCGATCCCTGTCAATCAATTCCACGAGCCATGTGAATTACAAATTACTAGCATGCTCCGCTATTGCTTGACTTCATTCTGATAAATGTGATGTAACAACGTTGGAGATTCTAATATCACCGCTCCTCAAATGTGTCGATAATTACAGCCAATCAGAACAGTCGATTCCATTTCGTGCGGAGTGCGAGAGTGCAGAGCACTTCTGGTGAGGTGTACGGCTCGCGCTGTCACTTTGCGGTTGTGGTAAAATCGAGTCACCCTGGACAGTCAAGTGTCTGTTTGAAAAACGGAATATTTTACACGCTTACTAGTATTGCCGTGCTTAGTTGGACAAAATCGATTAATGCCACTTGTGCAAACACTTCTTGTATGTGGAACCTTATGTTTACTCTCCCGCCTGTACTAAACATAGAACAATGTATATATATATTAACACATTGCCGCGAAGACGAGGAAGTCAGTCACTAGACCTGCGATAGTGATTTTTGCTCGTGGTTATAATCGACTCAATTCAGAAAGGCTTATTGACTAGACGTGACGTAAACGACAAATTGCACCTGAATATTATCATATCGAATATAATGAAAAGGAAAAAATAATATCGTAGCAAGTTATAAATCTTTGTAAAAGTTTCAAAGTTATGTTGGGATTTTTTTAAAGCGCTAAGAAATTTGTAACAAACTATATCCTAATTGATAAGCCTGCTGTGTCCAACTGTGACATACAACACATGATCAAAGACTATCTCTAATCGATATTGTATATATTGTTTTTGGAGGCATTGACTGAGACAATATGTGTGAGACAAACAAGCACACGCGTTAACTGTTAGCCGCTGTAACGTCGCGTTGCTAAGCAACGTCACAAAGCATTAAAACTACAAACCTTTTCAAGGCACAGACTTCTGGTTTGTGTTTTTATCACTTTTAGCTATCAAAAACCGCATTTCATTTGAATTCTCAAGCACATTTACATTAGGCAGCGAAATCACAATCTTCGTTCGTTTTTGTCGTGGCGGCATTACACAATTCCTCTTTTTAAACAACCCATATTCATACATGTAGATTTTTGATTCGCTCATTCAAAGCTATCGTATAGGAACAAATCCGAGAGTCAACGATCAACCGCCCATCGGCAAGAGTTGAATCTAAATGACGGCACGGAATAAAAGTTGGTCTTGGCTAGAGGAAGCACGAGCTATTTGCAATTATATTGGCCCTTCAATCTAGGAATCATTAGATGTGCCAAACGGCATGTGAAATAAAGCGGCAGAAGCGGGAGGGATGAAAGACCCTCTGTTCTCGCACACCAGGCGAGACCCCGATGCTTGCAATATCGATTACAAGAACTTAACTTGTATTTTCTCTTTTAAATCTAGAATTACACATCCTTTACGTCAAAGACATGTTTGGTTGTCAAATTAAAGGCATTGTCTATGAGTTGATGTCTATTCGGGACATAATAGTATCAAATTAATTACTTTTACAACCGATACAATTTGCGCTGTTACACCGCTGTGACATCACTCCGCTGAAGTTGAAGACGTCGCTCGTATGGCAGCACTTCCACAAGAAGTTGAAGTCATCTCAACTGGAATGTTATTTTAATCAATTTTGACCTTTCGCGCCTGGGGTACTTTCAAAGCACTGTTGTATTTAAGTGTGTTAATTTTTATACTGTGCGTTAAGATTGAGGAAGTTATAATTATACTATACAATTGATCTTAACGACTTCGGGCAGCCATTTCAGTATTCTTTTATCGAATGCATATTCTACATAAACAAGAGTCCATGTGTCCTTGCGAACTCTTCAAGTGGGTAGGAATTTCAGATTGTAAGGTCCTCTAATCCCAAAAGGGAAATACGTTTCCATCAATAACATTCCAAGTGAATTCAAAAAGAATTTGTACCAAAATTCTAGTGAATGCTTCAGATTCAGGGAACAAGCCATTAGGAGGCTATTAGAACAGCCACAAACAACTTCACAGTTAGTTTCGTCCCTTTCATGGATGACGTTACAAGACAACACGTCTCCTGGGTGATCATAGCGTCTTTAATGTATTGGAGTGAGGCTCAACGTTACTTTCAAATCTTACGTTAGTCGCTTGTTTTTATAACAACACATTGGCGTTTTTTCTCATCTCGCTAGGTTCATATTCATCAGCCTTACCTCATATTCAACTCTATTTTTGTCTTATTCTGATTTTATAGTCATACTGAACACTCTGGTAAATACGTTTAAAGGTTCAGACATATGTTTGCATACATGCCGAAAATCAATGGGATGGTCGTTCTGTGAAGTCCGGTGGAACAATCTTTCGTTACTTTCTTATATGTTCTGTGAATCCATTGACGTCCAGCTGTGTCCAGTTGACCTAGTGAATCCCGTGGAGGACCACCTTATTCTATAAATATGTCACAAACCAGTTTCTCGAAACGTGAAACTTAGTATCCCGGGCAAGTATCTGAGTATAGTGAGTGAATATTGGTTGATGCCGCAGTATGACGTCGAGGACAGCAGCTGTGAGCTTCACATAAGTACAGGAATGGTGGACTCGAACCTCAATGTTCAACATGTCGAAACAGCTCTTCAATCAAGTTTTTAATTCATGGATTCTATTGCACACAATGTACATACAAATAGGAAAGCTGGGTCAACAATTATGGAAAGCAATGACACCTGGCGTTTACAAGGCAACGAGGAATGTCCCTGCTGGGCGGAAGGCGTCTGGTGTCGCCGACGTCATTAACATTACGACGGAGAGGCGACAATATGCGTTAGCGGGCGATTATTGTGTTCGTCAGTGTGCTAATCAACGCACCTGGAGTATGTCGTCAGTTTCTCGCTAGGGGTCGCTGTTCGCTTTGCGCACCTCGTGTACCATCTTCAGAAGACGGGTGAACACAAACACAAGCAATGTGGCCGTCAGCAGGATTGATGTGCTGAAGGGTATGAAATTGGCTTGTACCCCGCTGGTGGGGTGTGCTTGTGGCCGGGGATGTATGTGACGCACATAGATGTATACAGTTGCCGTTTGCGTGGGCTGTACTGGGATGTATACATATCTATACTTATCTTGCTTTTATGCGTGTTATGATTGGATTGGATTCCAATTGTTGATCTGTATGATTGTCTTTTCAGTGTCTCCTGGTCACAATCTGTAAGATGAATCATACATCTTCTCGTAAGAAATAACTCAGAATCTGTAAAACTCGTACTTGTAAACCTTTCTTGCGCTGTGTCTGATGGCCTTCGTGCAAATAAGACTGTCTGTTTACTTAGTATGCATAAATGCATCTTCAACGCGTACGTGTGACACAATTGTCTCTAAACAATCAATTCGTCCGTCCGTCCGTCCAATGCGTGACCACCGATATGACAAGACACTGCTACACCGAATTGATGAAGACGTGATATATCTCTGTGGCACTAGTAAGTAAATGTTTTAAAAGGGTCCTATTAACATAGTCCCAGACCGTGTCGATGTACATGTAGTTGTACCTAACTAAACAACTTAACACAACTTCAGCAACAAATTCATGTTTCAAGTCCTTCAATAATATGGACTCGCTAATTAAAAGGCTTAAAATATGCTGTTCTGTTTATCATTTGAGGATTTTATTTAATTTGGGGTTTGGTTAATGAATTACTAATCTTCTTGTCCACCCTAATTGATGAAAATAAACACGTACATCTGACGATTTTGTTGAAATGAAATTCTCAATAGCTGTATGGTATTATCTTTTCCTGTGCAATGTTTCTTTTCTCTGGAAGTATTTGAATATGGGCGCATAGCTAAGTGAGCTTCGATCCCACATCCTTTAAGACGAATATGTATCGCTCCTAACAGCAATGCTTCATCGGATCTACAAAAGCGTGCATAGTCGGATTGTCAAAATGTCAATAATAGAAAAATAATCCCTTCTGGATGAATTATGCAGTTTGTCGTGTCTGAAGAACAGAACAAGGTTAACATCTGATGTCAACCCAAGAATACAACGACTTCCTAGACAGGAAGAGCCATTCAAACACCATGCCCATGACGTCATCACCTACTCGAACACACCAAAGCACCGTTTAGACAACGATCAAGGTTGGTTCTGCAGCCTCGTTTTGACGATAGGGAGGACCAAAAAGCCGCACCGGCTTTTCTCCGGACATACGGAGACGACGTCGATGAAGATTGGCGAAATCTTAATGGCTTAAAGCAGACAGGAAATTACTGCCCCCTCTTCATCAATGGTTGGGAGTACTCCTGGTTAACCCCGAGTTGGTCTTTCAGCTGCCTTCACTATAACAGGCAAGCGAATAAAGCGTTGTTTAAGTCAATCGTTAACTACAATAGCAAAACAGGGAGCAAGCCAAGCCTCAATACAAAGATTGCCAGAGATCTCGACTCCACTCACAGATGTATTTTCTACCGATGTGGACACTTGAACTCGCATTCTTTAGCTCGTTTCCGCTCTTGTGGATTTGAAAGCTTGCTAAACGCCGAGTTCGTTGTCCATCAGTAGTTTCTACTCAACCCCAGTAGATTTTATCAACTGAGGAACCTGCACACAATGAACAAAATCGAATACTTTTCATCTTGAATTTTGACATGTTTTTGCTCCAATCTGTATCGATTTCCTGATTCAGAAAGCTGGATAAACAAACCAGATGGAAATCAATAGTTTTAGTGATTGTAAATTGTAGGTAACTATATTACAAGGTTGGCAAAGTTTCGGATATTGACTTAAACTATTGACGTTCTCTCAGAACGCGTTACATTTAACTGTGGTTTAGTACAAAGTACATAGGAAGGTCATCTCCACTTACCATGACACTAAAGGACATATTGCTCGAATTGCATAATGGGTATCTCCGGAGGCTGCTTGTAAAAGCTCTAGGACAAAGTTATTCTGCCATGAAGGACTCTTCACTTATTGAGGCACCCTTTTGGTCCTATCCGCGGACGTTGCAATAAATAACGTTTTATTATTATTAGTTTGTATTCATAAAAACCTAATGAGTAACACCCGCGTCTTATATTTCCTGAAGATCCGATTTGTATTCCATAGTTGATAGATAGCCTGATAACTGAATAGATTAAGAAAAGATATCACGAAACAGGTTAAATATCTGGCTTTATTGATATTT